AATTTTAAATTATATTTTATTAAATTAAAATAATTACAATATATTTTTCTACTTTGAGAATGAACAATATAATTAAACTCAAAATTGACAATATTATAATATATTTTTGAACTCTTTTGGATTAATTTTTTTTCCTAATTTTTGATAAAGTTAATTTTAATATTTAAAAGTATTTAACATTTTGATATAATGAGCATGATAATATAATGATAGAATTTACAAAAATGTAGAATTGAGAAGTTTAATTTTTTTTTAAGAAAATAGAGATTTAATTATACTTTTAATAAATTTAAGATAATACTAGTTTTTAAACCTTTTTCTAATATTTGTTTTTAAAAATATAATATCATTTTTAATATTTTATAGATTTTATATTTATATATTTATAAAAGTAATTGGATTAAATTTATTATCCTCTCATATATTATTATACATTTAGCGTAATTTTAGTTTATTTAAAAATTAGAATACAAATATACTATACCAATATACCATTATATTATTTTCATTGTATATAAATTACAAAATTAATAATTTGTATATATACTATACTATACTAACATATTATTTGTATACTATACTAATAGTATAATATACTATATTATAATATTATTTGTATACAAAACTAATATCTTTATATATAAATATATAAATATGGAAAGATATAAATATATGTAAAAATATAAACATATAAATATATATAAATATGTAAAGATATAAACATATATCTTTAATATTTTGTAAATGTAAATATAATTTATATATATTTTTAAATCTTTTTCTAATATTTATTTTTAAAAATATAATATTATTTTTAAAATTTAATATTTTTTTTCAAATATATAAATATATAAAGATATAAATGTATAAGGATATAAATAAATATATAAATATATCAATATATAAATATATCAAAATATAAAAATATAAAAATATAAATATATTAATATATAAATATATCAATATATAAATATATAAATATATATAAATATATATAAATATATATATATATATATATATAAATATATATATATATATATATATATATATATATACAAATATATCAATATATCAATATTATCCCCTCATATATTAATATACATTATGCTATATAAATATATCAATATATAAATATTTAAATATATCAATATTTAAATATATATTAAAATATATAAATATATTTTTATTTATAGATTTTATATTTATATATTTATACGGATATACATTTATTTGTATATAAATATAATTTATTTGTAAGTTATTATTAAAAGATCCTAGTAGCTCGATGGTTGGGCTTTCAGCAGCTAATTCTAAGGTACAGGGTTTGAATCTTGACAATAACAATAAACCACCTAATAAACTTTTTCATTGATTCAGTGACCGATTTGGTTATATATAATTGGTCACTATTTCGGTCACTATTTTAATTAGTAACCGATTTTGCACATTTAGTGACCGAATTTTCGGTCACTATTTGGTGTTTTTCTTGTAGTGTTATGTTAATAATGAAAACATTGCAATTCGTCTTTGTAAAATATTAAAACTAGTTTTTTTTCTTAATTTAAATATAATAGTTCTATTACTGTAGGATAACGAAATAGGTTATCAATAACTCTGAAATCCATATGAAATAACATACAATTATTTCAGTTTAATTATTAATTTTGAATAAAAATCTTAAATATCCAGTGGCATTCATATGCATATAAAATAGTTAGTTGTTCATCATAATTTAACTATTGCTCATGTAGAGAACATGTGGTTTAGGAAGAAAAAAACCATATCCAATAAATACTCTTATTGGTAGGTTAAGTCCTACTCTAAATAGATTTAAAAAAGAAAGAAAGATAGTGTTAGGATATTTTATTTAAAATCGTGTACCTAGTATTAATAATATACAATAAAACCTTTTTACAGCTATGGAATAAGGCACGCACGAATGAATTGAAGGACCGAATCCAAAGATTTTTTTTTTAGCTTAATAAAATTCTAATAATCACATTCTCAGTTAGGGATCTACTTTTCAATTAAAATAAAGTAGTGTATTTATATATTTTTAATTATATAAGTCTATTATAAAGTAGTGTTTCAATATATATAAGATTAAAGAAGATAAAATAGAAAATTTACAAATACATAATGATTTTAATAAAATCAGTTACATATCCATTTTCGTATATATAGCAAGTATATGAACATTTTTGTATATATAGGTCAAGTTGCAAATATCATTATAATTCCTATAATTTATTTTAATCTCCAAATTCTTATACATAATTTTAACTAAAAATAATTACCCAGCAGTAGAGAGAACTATGGTAAGTGTACATTACTAGTTTATATTAAAAATAAAGGTGTTAAAATATACAATATACCTTAGCTACCAAGTCTATGACGTGTAACCCACCCATATTCTAAGTATATTATGGTATTTAGGTTTAATTTGACTTTGTTATTTTAGCATATTTTAATAATAGATTTAAAATTTAAATATTATATATTATCTATATATAGTCATGTTGTTTTATTGATAAAAATATTATTGAATTTAATTTTAATAATAAATAATATTGTTAAATATTTAATATATCATGATTTTACTTTGGTATATTTTATTAAATGGAATATATATTGATGATGTATTATATTCGGTGATGTTTATTTATTAATGATATTAAACTCTGTTTTATTTTATAACATGTATATAATATAAATATTAGGACAGGTATGATATATAATATATATCGTAAATATAGTTTAACTTTAAATACAGTAATTTGACATAAGAATTATAAAATACTTATGCACTTTAATAAAAATTAATTTTAAATATATATAATTCGACAACTAATTCGATTTATATCTCTATAAACAAGTTTCACCTATAAGTAGATTTGAGTGTAGATTAAAAATGTTAGAAAAAAATAACTTAATTATATTTAATTATATATATATATATATTAATTATAGACCGTATATTCAATTTAGTTATAACTTGAAAAGTATTTATTTTTTTCATTTGATTTTTTTGTATTTTTTTATTACATTTGCATTAAACTTGCCATAAGTTTTTTACTACTAAAATACATTAGAAAATATACAAAATAATCAAAATTTACAATCAAAGGTAACCATATCCCAAAGCTAATAAATGATTTAACTTTTTTTTTTTTACGGTGGTCTATTTCATGTTTAAAATAATATTTCTAAAATTGAATCTCTAAATCACTAATTAAGAAATTAACGTAAACTAATATTTTGAATAGTATTATAGTAGAAATCAAATGCCAACAACTAATTTATACCAAAAAATACATCCTATTCGAAATTGGTTATAAAAACATAATTAATTACAGTTACATTATTAATTAATTAACAGTTACATACAAAAAATAGGTTATAAAAACATTAGTAATAAATTACAACGAGTAATACGTGAAGGGTTGTTGAATCCTATAGGATATAGACAATAGGAATTATGGGTAGACACATAGGTGTTTTTGGTCCTTATGTGATCATATTTTTCTTATATTTTTTAATTAATTAAAGTTAGTTTAATAAAATTTTATTAAGTATTGACATATATTGAAGACAAAAAGAGGTACAAAAGAGGAAAATTGTGTATAATAATAATTTAATATAAAAATGTTAAAAGTTGCAATTGCGATGACAAAATGTTCAGTTTTTAGTAAGAATATTATGTATTTTCTCCAAAAATAATATATAATTGTTGTTATAAAATTAAAAGTTAAAAATGAGTAAGGTTACTGTATTTTTAAGGACTTCTATATCAAAAAATAAACAATTATTTCATATAAAATTATGTTTAAAAATTAATGAAAAGGTAGTATCAGTTATAAATAACAATTAATACATCTTTAAAATCAACCAATATGAGAAGTTGGATATGTCTAAATTATATAAAATTAAGAAAATATATAATTATAATTTTACCATATATATATATATATAATTTAGTTGTTATTTTTTATTAGTAATTATATTTAAAAAGAAGAAGCAAATAGTCCTATGATAAGAGAAGATATTCCAGCAAGAACTTTTGCAACACATGAGAAACGTTGAGATATGAAAAGCAAATGTGTATCCCTTTCTGCAAATAGGAATAGTTAAAATGTTAAATAATAAAGATGGAGAAGATAAGAATATCTGTAACCCATTGATTGAGGCAGTGATAATGGGCAACATTATCATAAAGCTTTTTAATGCAATTTTATTTTAATTTATTGACGTTTGCACCACTCAAGTAAACCCACCCTTTCTTTTTCTTTCATTTCAAACCTTCTCAGAAAGAAGGCCAACCCATTCCCTTCCACCACTTTGCAATTTCAAGTCTAATCAAATCCCATTAAAAAAAAAAAAAAACAGAAACTTCACTTCCCAAAACGCCCTCACACTTAACCCTTGCTTTGTTTGTTATTTTTTATTTTCTTTTCCCTTTGCTACCAACCAAAACACCTAAAAAAACACGAGCCGAACCGGGGCTGAATAAAACACCAAAAGCGGTGATTGACTGGGCCAGTGGGACCCACGCAACTGACCCGGACTCCAATTCCAAATTCAACTCCATTTAATATTTAAAAAAGAAAAAAGCAGCCACCAATTTCTTTTCCCAACAAAACCAGAAAAAGCTAAAAATAAAATAAAAAATAAAAAATTAGAAACATGAAAACAAAAAGGCAAAATCAAAGTATGTGTGTGATGGATGGGCTAAGAATTCGGTCCCACGCGCCTGCGTCGTCAGCATCATTACACCGTACTCTCTCTCTCTCTTTATCTCTTTCTCTCTCTTTCTTTTCCTTTTCTTTTACTTTCTCTCTCCATTGTCCCCCTTTATATATAAGCCTCACAAGATCTCTTCGCCACCACAACCCACCGTGTCAACTCTCGTTGAAACACGACGGCTTAAACGTGTCTCTTAAATTTAATTCCTCAAACGCTCCCGTTTTCGTCTTTCTTTTATTCTTTATTTCTTTCTCAGTATGGGTGATTGTGATTCCGGTTGCAAGAAGCGAGTCCGAGATGACTCCGACGACTCACTTCTGGAATCGCCCGAGGCCAAGCGACTCAGGGACGATTTGCTCGAGTTCTTCGAAGATGCCGACGATGCACCTTCCACTCAGGATCTTGACTCCGTCATGAAGAGCCTGCAGGAGGAGATATCCGGCGTCACATCAGATTCCGGCGAGTCTCAGGCACAGATCGGGTACCTCCTTGTGGCTTCCGACGACGAGTTAGGGCTTCCACCTGCCGGAAACTCGTCGGCGCCGGAGAAGAAAAACGAGGAGACTGAGTTGGTCCGAGTGGCGTCTGACTCGTCCAGAATCGGCGAGTTGTGGGAGATTGAGGACCAGATGTCTAGATACGATTCGTTTGATTTGGGAATGGGGTTTGGTTACGATTGCGATGCCGCTACTGAATACGCTGCTTTTGGGGGACTCTTCGATCATTCGGATGTGTATTATGATTCATCCGAGTTTTCTGACACGTGGCGGCATGAGACGTTGCCGACACAATAGATATTTAATTAAAAAAGAAAAGAGGAAAAGGGTATTAGATGTAAATATTTTCCTTTCATTCACTGTTTTTTTTCCCCTTTTTCTAGATTAAGGGAATTACAGAATATTAGGATAACAAGATGAAAAAGGAAATTGCTTAGTTATATTTTTAATATTTTATTAAAGGGAAGGCTTCATGCTCGAAACCATTTCTGCATATGCTACTTTAAAAACAGATTAAAATAAAAATAAAAATAAAAATGGTACACTCAGAATGTTTAAAACTAGTGTCTGCACTTCATTTTTTCTCTTAAATTTAATCTAACCACCAAGGATATTAAACTAAAATCATACACCAAGTAGTCTTTTTCTTAAAATGTTGTGTTTTATTTTGTTATTTAAAAAAGAAAACTTACGTATGTACGATAGAGTTTTTTTTTTTTTTTTCTTTTCTTGCTGATAAATTCAAAAACACTCCTTTTAAATTCCTTAATCCCTTGTTTCGCGCTCTTATATATGGGGAATTTATTGGTAGTTTTCGATTTAATTTTATATTTTGCTCCTTGTTTTTTCATCAAATACTTTATTAATATAAACATTTGTTGGTACGATTATCAAATTAGATGAGAACAGTGTTGATTACAATTTTCTTATTAAAAAAAAATCTAATTTTTTAGAAAACAAATAATTGTTTATACTTTTATAACTTTTCATTTCAAAATTCAGGGACATGTAAGTTAATACACTTTAAATATTCTTAATGTATTAATAGAGAGTAATTTTTTTAAAATTATTTAAATATGAAAAAAAAACAGAAAAACTATATTATAGTGTTTTTTTTCCTTCTTATATATTACATTAACTTTTTCAAATTTATATTATATTCCCTATAAAAAATAATAAATCAGTAAAACATTCCATAGATAAAGAAAAATTATTTTAGTTGAATTTCTTATGACTTAATAATTAACATAATTTAATATATAAAAATATAATTATCTTATCATTTATTTTATCATAATTTAATAAATAATAATATATTATAATAAATAAAATATAAAAAATTTAAATCAATCTTATAAATAATATATTTTAAAAAACTATTTTAATAAAACATAAATAAATTTATTACCTAGTGATATTTATTTTATATTGATATAACAAATTCAATAATAAAAAATAAATGTATTTGATATAATGTAAATTTTTCAGTTTTTATTTTATTTTTTTTTCTTTTGTTTTTACTTCTTCTCTCGTCTTTACTTATATTTTTATTATTCTGATTAAAAATATTAAATTAAATTTTAATAAACATATATTGTATTGTTTTTAAGAAATACAAATATTTAAATTATTTAAAAATATTATAATTCAATATATTATATATTTTAAAAAATATTACAATATAATTTTCAAGGTGTTTTAAATATTTGTTGTTAAGTTATAATTATAAAAAAATATTTATTCTAAAGTAATTATTTTAATCAAAAATTTAAAATTACTTAATTTGATTAATCATTTTAATTTAATTTAATTATAACTATATTAAATAAAAAATAAACTCAACACATAAATATTTAATATTTTTAATTAAATAGATAAATAATGTATTATGATAAATAATCTTAAATTAATTATTTATTGTCATCATAAATAAAATTATTTAATATCATCATTTAAGAATCCAAATTTAAGTGACTTAAAAGTATATAATAAGAATAAATTTAAAGTTTTACCATTTAAACTAAACAAAGTTATAAATAGAGAAGTTTAAAAATTAAAACATCATTTTTACAAAATCATCATTTATTTATAACTCATTTTTATAAAATTTATGAATTTTTAGGTTGTGTGATTATGTATGTATTAATTTTTTATGATCGTATTAAATGTGATATTGGGTCTTTTGAAAGAGATTCATTGGAGAGAACACAACACCAACGAGACATGAGTTAAACCTACATAAGAGATTGACACCATTCTTAACCAAAAACCTTAAGACATTGGATAATGAGTTTTTCTTTCTTATATATTACTTAACTTTTCCATTCTTATTCAATGTGGGACTTTAACTCACACTTAAATTTTCCAATAATCACCCCCTTAAGTGTGAATTTATCCACATTGATACACCTCCCTCAAGTTCACTAATACCCTTTTCATGTACCACAATTTATTATAACGGGACACGTTTACTTGACCCACATCAGGAAGACTTTCGATACAAGTATCACTCTTAAACTTTTGATCAACCTTTGGTTTTTGATACCAAAGTTGGATCATTCGATGAGAGATTCATAGGGAAGAAACATACCAATGAGATATGAGTTAAACCCAAATAAGGGATTGACAACACTCTTAAATCAAAACCTTAAGTCATTGAGTTATGAGTATATTTTCTTATATGTTGTTCAACTTTCTCATTCTTACTCAACTTGATACTTAGACTCACACTTAAAGTACCCAAACTGTCAATTATCTCACAAATCATCAACTCTAATGCCATTATTGGGTCTTTCAAAGAAGATTAAATGAAGAGAACACAACACCAATGAGATATGAGTCTAACTCACAAAAGGGATTGACACCACTTTCAACCCAAAACCTTAAGACATTGGGTTACGAGTTTTTCTTTTTTGTATGTTGCTTAACTTTTTCATTTTTACACGATGTGAGACTTAAATTCACACTTAGATTACCTAATATGTGAATGTATAATTGATTTTTATGAGATTGAAAAATATAGTCTTTTGTATGAATATATTGTTTTTAGATTGAATTGTTTTACAATATAAAGGGTAAGGTTTAACTTTAATTGGATTCAAAACATTAGAAAATGGGTATTGAGCAAATTATGCGATTTGTTGTAACATCCAAGTATTTTCCAAAAATATTTCATTAATATAATAAAATATTTTGTCATTAACTTTAATAAAATGGTATTATGAGTTATTTTAAGACTTGATAATTTTTAAAGATATTAATAAATAATATATATATATATATATATATATATATATTATGAAATTTTTAATAGAGTGAAATAGATAAATTTACAATTGAGTTTAAAATGAAGTAATAATAATAATAAGAGTAATATCACTAAGCAAAATTAGTAATATAATTTACCATTGATAAAATGATTTAATTGGTAAGTGAAAAAGTAAGTGAGGGTAATTTTGGAAAGGAGGTTAAATTTAAAGAAGAGAAAGATCAATTTTCTTTCTCACTTACGGAAGCCATTTTGGGAGCACGGGAGGAAGAAGAGAAGCTTGGTTTTGCTTGCCCACACCATCTTGGTTCATCATTTTTGCAATTAAGAGTAAGATCCATGAAATTAAAGCATTAGATTTCAATATTATCTCCTAAAATCTTCTTAATCTCAAACATATGATCATTTTGATGCTTATAGGAGACAAACTTTTCTTGAACTAAGGATCTCCATTTTCTTGTTTGAAAGTTTCATTTGAGGTAAGGAGAGTCTTCTTATCATCAACCCTAGGCTAAACCATCATTTATCTCACTTCTACATTAATTGGAACCAAATTAAAATGTTTTATAAAAATTTCGTATGGCTATTTTAGTATATTTAGATACTCTACAATGATCCTTTCATATTTTAGAGTTTAGAAATGGATTCCTTGGATGTTAAAACCTAGAGTTAGCCATAAAAATCACTTAAATTGGATTTTTCTAGAGGAAGATGATGAAATATGTGTTGAGAGATGTTGTTGGACAAAAATCTGCATGTAAATTGAATCTTTGAGAAATTATGTAAAAATATTTACTTGATATTTAATTCTGAAATTTTGATTACATGTTTCTTTATATGTCTAGTTTGTGTGTGATTTATTTCAAAATTTTCTGACCATTTAATTTTCGATGAAAAATCTTGGAAGTAAATATGTTTTGAGTTGGGTGAAACAGAATTGTTATGTTCGCCCAACAACTTTGAAAAATCATAGAAAATCGAAATTGAAGTTTTTTTGAGATGAATTTTTTATCATAGTTGTGATTGTAGGTATATATTAAGTATATTTATTTTCATAATTTTATGACCATTATTTTATTTTACAAAAATATATCTTTGAGTAATGCCCTGATAGTGGAATCTTCAAAACGTATGAAAATGGAGGAAAGTTTTGAATGACTTAGAAATCTTTAAATTTTGAATTATAATTTTTATTATAATCCTAGAATATATGTATTTTTGACTGGAAAATTTCATAGAATTTGGAGTTAGTTTAGATGACAAAGAATTTTTCCAAAGTTACATTTTTCTAATGCTTATGATAGATTTTTCTTCCTAGAGAAGTGTAAACAAAACTTTAGTTCTGGACCTATTATTTATTTTATGAGTATGTATGATGTGAGAATGATGGTGTAATGAGACATTTTGGGACACAAGATTAGAATAACAAGAGTTTAGAAAATTTGATGGATCGCAATGTGTGCTGAGTCCGAAAGTGTCCGACTCTCGGCAAATTTTTATTGTTCTTGTTTGATGCAGGAAAATGTGTTTATAAATTTGATTTGAATGTATTTGTAAATTGGGAAATGTCCAAATTACAAAGGAGACTCTGTCAAATTTTTGAAATTGATGAAAAATAAATAAAGCTTAATAAGAATGGTATAAAGAAACGTTGTGAATAGTTAATGCATTCATAATCATGGTAGTTAGTAGAAATCATGTCTATAAGCTGTTTGTACTATGTGCTGAGTCTAAGTCAGAGATGTTGGTCATCTAAAAATAGGGTATTATGTCTATAGTGATATGGTCTGTATGATGTAGAGTTTGTTTCTACCAAATATATTGTTGTTAAAGAGTTGGTGGTGTCACTCAGTGACGAGATATGTGTGTGGATGGTACGGAGATACACCGGGGGCTTAGGAGATAAGAGAATATCAGATTGATCTTGGGGAAATATAGAGTGCATTGTTTGACCACGCTCTATACTCCCGACTTGACTCTTTGACTTTGCCTTTTTGCCAAGGGATCGTTATGCGTAAGCATTGTATCT